AGTGGGCTGTGAACAAACTTGTTTCACTGGTTGTCTCATGAGGCGTAAGGCTGTAAGCTCCCTGAAGACTTTCATTGTTGTTGTTGTTGCTAAGTTCTGTCAAGTTTGTTCCAACCCATAATGACCCTGTACAGGGTTTCCAAGGAGTGACCGGTGAGCTTAAACCGCCAACCTTGCACTTCAAACTGACTTTGCAGTCCAGCACATTAACCCTAAGCACCACACCAGGACTCCTCCCTGAAGACTGGCATCATCTTTTATATGTCTGCATATCCTCTGGTACCCAGATCACTGCCATGTCCACAGTAAATCATCACAAACCATTTGCTAATATCTTTCCTGATAAGGATTGAAGTGAAATGAGGCTGTAAGAGCACATGTACAGATATTTTTTTTTTTCCTTCTGTGGAAGATGCCCATTTGTACATTAAGCCATCACCACTAATAAATAAGCATGTCCTGTGTACCACGCTGGCACAGTGAGTTAAGCTTACGAGAAGGTCAGCAGTTCAAGTCCACCAGCAGCTCTGTTGGGAGAAAGATGAGGCTATCTGCCCGTTCCCATAAAGATTGAGTTTCAGCCACCCTAAGGCGCAGTTCTCCTTTGTCCTATTAAGTTGTTGTGAGTCAGAAACAACTTGAAGACTGTCAAAAAATTTTTTTTTCTTAAATATATCATCTTGTGCTTACTAAGAAATATAGGTAGGAAGAATAGCAAAAGAGCTTTGATTCCTTAATATACAAGAACTCTGGAGTGACTTGATTCTTCTGTTGGCTAGTGGTACAATGAATTAAGTAGGGATTTGATTTTGCCACTTCATAGCTTTCACTTAATCTCTTGAAACCTCTGACTGGAGCAAAATTGGTGTTCTCTCTGCCTCATATACCCAGTTTTGCTTTACAACTTGTTTGGGTGCAGAAGATACGTACCCAGACTACTTATTGGCTGATGAGACCTGGCACAACTTCTCTGTATGCTTCTGTAATTTCCAGTAACAGGGTTTTGGTGGTGGTGGTTGTGTGCCATCGAGAGCCTGTTCCAACTCATAGCGACCCTTCTTAGGGTTTTGGAGGCTGTAAATCTTTACAGGAGCTGAAAGCCTCATCTTTCTCCCATGGAGCAGCTGGTGGATTCGCACTGTTGACCTTGTGGTTCGCAGCCCAGCAACGAATTCACTATGCCACAGGACTCCACAGGCTTTTAGTTTCAGTGATTTTTCTCTCTAAAACCAAACACGGTAATAATGAACCACTTCTCTGCATTTTTTAATCAAGATACCGCTTGGTGAGTTCTAAATGTTCTGTCCAGGTTTAAAGAAGCTGGTTTCTTCATGAGTGGTTGGAATAAAACTTTTCTTGGAAGCTACTGAATATGGATTAGTTGGATTGTTTCACAAGAATTAGAAAAGCAGGCTCTGGGGTTGTGAACTACTTCAGGACTTAATTGGGTTAGCAAAGAAACTGCAAATGAGAGGTTTTCCTAAGGAGGGAAAGGATGTTTACAGCCCCAACCCCCCTAGGTGGGGGATTTTAACCTAAACGTTAGTCTTCGAAAGCAGTCTTTAATTTAAGAACCATTACGAAAATCTATTAGAGCAGAAAATGTCAGGTTGAAAAATTAACACATGACAGGAGTTAATTAGAACCCAGCCTCTCATTAGATGCAAATAGAGAGCTCCCCAACTACCCAAACAGTTCGCTGAAGTCGTGTTTGTGGCGCTCTATGGTAGTTGCATACTTACTACAATGAAGGTGGAATCAGGGGGCTTGCTCAGGCACTCTGACCAGAACCTGCCCTTTAAATTAACTATTCAGGTGTTCCTATCTTCTCCTCTCAGGAAATGCTCTGAAGGTCACTGGGTGACTATGCCTCCGCTTGGAACTCCCTCAGGGAAGTGTTTTCTGTAACAAAGACAAACATGCCATGCTTGTCACCAGGGGCATTTTGTGGACTGTGTAAACCTCTCTGTGAGAGGGAGGCTGAGGGGCTCCAGTCCATTCAGACTTAGTTCTACATCTTGGTCTTTGTTTTCTATCCACATTCAGACTGAAATGTGATGCCCCTGCCTTTCTTTTTTGGAAAATACCTGCGACCAGCTCCTTGCGAAGGAAGAAAAGCTGTTGACAGGAAAACACTTCTGATGGGAAAGGGGCTTCCTTGAGTGTTCTCAAAGGAGACAGTTGCTTCAGGCAAGTGGAGGCTGGGATGCCAGGCATGGGAATGAGAGGCCCAGATCACTAAGGGTCAATTTAAGTATGGATTAGGCTGGGTGTCAAGCAGTTTCCTCTGGGAGAATAGTTCTGTGTACACAGACTTCAGGACAGGCAGACATCTGAATCCTTCTCCAACAGTTAGTTACTAGCTAGCTGTCTGATCTTGGGCAAATTGCTTGATCCCTCAGAACATTAGTTTTTCTCAATCTGTTGTGAGAAATGAATGAGATTATGTATGTAGAGCATGTAAAACAGTATCTGACACAGGTTTATATGAACTGTTATTGATTTGATATCAAATCAACTAACACTTTATGTGTCTCCTCTGTGTGCCAGGCCCTTTGTGGGAGATAGGTCCTCCTCCTAACTTCAAGGAGTTCAGAGTCTAATAAATCATGAACACACAACTACAGCACAATACAAAGCCTCCTCCTGACTCTCCAAATGCCCTAGAGAAGCACCAGTTACACAGGAACTCCCATTTTTTTTAGTAGCTCAAAATCCTGCAGGTAGCCATCTAAACCCAGCTATTTGTAGCTTTAATCTATGCACGATTCTGTATGTACTTACAGCTTCTGATTTAGTCTTTGCTTTCTCCTGTGAGGTCCTGGCCATAGGGGTCACTTTCACTCAACTTATAGCTCAATAATCTCATGCATTACTCAACAGTGGCATGTAGGAAATATTCAACTCTACTGCTTGAGTATGTAGATTTCTAGCTGGGAACTTTTGTGAAAAAAATAACCTTACCCCCATCTTCCAAGGGTCTCCTTTGGGCCCTGGTTTGGTTGGTCCTGTTATTTTTTTAACTATCACTTTGGTTCCAGCCTCAGTTTCCTCTTCTCTTTAAGGAACCTAAGAAAGGCTTCTTTACCTTCACTGAGATGTTTTGATGAAGACAGGAGACAGGGCAGCCTCTGTGCTCAACACAGTTCTATGCTGTGTGCCGAGGGGTTGGTTCAAACTCATAGCGATGCTACAGGATTGTTGAGGCTATAAATCTTTATGGGAGCAGAAAGTCTTATCTTTCTCATACGGGGAATAGCTGGTGGATTCAAACTGCTGATCTTAAGGTTAGTAGCTCAATGCGTAACCCATGATGATACCAGGACTCCTTACACAGTTCTATACTAAAATATCTTGACTCCATTCTTCAATAAAGGAAAAGTAGTTGCCAATATAAGAAAACTGAAAATACAAGACAGAATATGAGCAACATGTTAGTACAGACATTCTTTCAACTTTTGTTAAGTCCCTGCCATGTGCCTTGGTGGAAACAGGAGGAAACCTAAGTGCATAAAGACTTGATTCCTGTCACCCAGCCCCAGCAAAATGCTGGCAAGTGATGGAAGAACGGGGCTCAGTAAGGGAGCGGGGAGCCTGGTACCCAGATCCCCAGGCTTGGCTGTTGTAGAAGACGTGTAGGTACTTGGCTAGAAAGCACCAGATAGTCCTAGGTTTGTACAGAAACCAACCACCACCACTGTGTGCCAGACACTGTGCTAAATGATTTACAGGCACCACCTCATATACTCAGAGTAACTGTGAGGTAGACGTTAACTTTTCTATTCCATGGACGGTCAGTGTGAGACTCAGAGATACAGTAGCCTGATCACAGTGAAGTAACAAGTACAGGGTTTAGGAAATTCCACCTGCTGAGGATTCCACTGGTCTGACTGGAAAGTAGAGAGAAGGGTGGGCCAGCACAAAGCCCAGGGGAACCTGGGAATGTAATAAGGGAAAGTTGGATCATAACCCGGGTCGCATGATTCCCAGATCTCCAAGGACCCTGAGTAGCAGAATAAGGATAAAAGCCAAGGCAAGCTTGCAGGAAAGGGGTGCCTGGGAGAGGGGGGGGGGAGGGAAGCGCCAGCGGTTGTACGTCTTTCTCGCCCTCAGTGCACAGGTCAAGCCTCTCCCCTCCCACCCTCACTCCCTCCCAACCTTATTTAGAAACCGTGTCCCCGAGACAGGAAGGGCGGCGGGCCGAGAAGCACTGAGCGTCCCGGTCTCATTTCCTTTCGAATCCCCCTGTGGAATTTCATTTTATACAGTGAAGGAAACCGGAGCGCGAGACCATCGGCTGATCCCGGGCGTCTCCCCCAGCCTTGGCCCGACTTAAGCAGTTCCCGGGCGTAGGTCGGGCAGTGTCTGGAGGCGGAGAGAGGGGCCGGGCTCCGAATAGAGCAAGTTGGGAGTGAAAATAGCCGAGCTCTGGCTGTACCAGGCACGGTGCTAAGCGTTTTATGCATCACCTCTAATCCTCCAAGTCAATTTATGGCTGAGGAAACTGACTCCGAGTTGGGCAACTTGCTCAAGGTCACACAGCCGGAATTTGAAGCCACAACCTCAAGTTCTTTGTGTTTGTTTCTAACCCTGAAGGGGAGGTGGAGGAGACCCGTGGTGACAGCTTTAAGGAGAAAGAAGCGAAAGGGGTAGAATTACCGGGGAGCAATTCTCACCTGGGAGGGGAGGAAGTGGGCTAGCCGGGTCGGAGCGACGAGGCTCCATTGCCGCCTGGTCTCTGCGCCAGGCGCACTGGGTGAGTGGAAAGTGAGCGCCGGGAAGCGGGGCGGGCCCTCCCGGGAGGGAGGGAGGGAGGCCAGGGAGGCCGAAACGGAGGAGGGGGGCCGGTGGGTGGGGGCTGACCCTTCCAGCGGGAGAGCAGCCCCGCCTCGCTGCCCCGCCCGTTGCCGCCCGCGGCGCCCGGCCATTGGAGAGGCTCGCTGTCTGTCCCTCCCTGCCACCGCCCAGCGAACCCCTCCAGCGCCGCGGAGGGTTCGGGTGGTGAGAGTGGCGCGGCGCTGGAGGGCTTCGCTGAGACGGCGAGCGGACGCGGTCGGCGCCGGGTTGGAGGCTAGCCGCCTGCAGCCATGACCCTTGCAGTCTGCCCCTGGACCCCAGCCCAGACCATCTAATTCCTTACACAGTCACGCGCAGCTGCGGAGGAGCTTGCTGCTGCCGGTTCGTCGCCCTTGGCGCCTTATCACACTCCTTTCCCCAGAGCTGGGAGCAGCGCGGGCAGCCGGTGCCCCCGTGCAAACTGGGGGTGTCTGCTGGAGCAGCCTCCGCCGCTGCCGCCCCCGGCCCTGGCCATGGCCCGGCGGGGCGCTGGGTCGAGAGTCTCCGGGGAACCCGGGGGCGTCGTGCTCAGTCTGCGGCTGCTGTTGCCGCTGCTGCTACTTATGGGGCCGGCGCGGGGCTTTGGGGACGAGGAGGAGCGGCGTTGCGACCCCATCCGCATCACCATGTGCCAGAACCTCGGCTACAACGTGACCAAGATGCCCAACCTGGTGGGGCATGAGCTGCAGACCGACGCCGAACTGCAGCTGACAACATTCACGCCGCTCATCCAGTACGGCTGCTCTAGCCAGCTGCAGGTGGGCACTCCCCCCCCCCCCACCTCCCGGTCCCTACCCCTGCCGTGACCTCTGGGCAGAGATGCTCCAAACTAACTTTGCAGAACCCTAGCCAAGGAAAACCCCTTGCCCACTTCCTAGCCTGAAGGGTAAAAGTCTGGAAAGATTTCCACCTCCACCCCCCACTTTTCTGTCCCTTCTCAAGGACTGGAAGCCAAAACATTGTGTAAGTCATCTGGCCTGAGAAAGAACCCACTTTTACACAACGCCCTTCCGTTTTTCTCCCCTGCCCACCAAGTCTGGCCAAGCCCCTAACCCCAGTGGAGCTGAGGGTTATCTTTGCCAGGGATTCCGGCCTTGGCTGCTGGGTGGGCGAGTCCTCGGCAGGGCAGCCAGCTGCAGCTAAAACTTGGAAGGAGAGATGATAGGGAGACATGAGCTTCTTCTCCATTCCTTGTCCCTCTCCGACCTCTATTATTCCCCCATATTTGGGGGGGATAAGTGAAACACCGGAGTGGAATGGCCCCTCTTTGCCTTTGTTGTTGTTAAGTGCCGTAGAGTCGGTTCCGACCCATAGCGACCCTGTACAGGGTTTCTGAAGCTGTAAATCTTTATGGGAGCAGAAAGCCTCATCTTTCTCCCCTGAAGCGCCTGGTAGTTTCGAACTGCTGACCTTAAGGTTCGCAGCCCGATTCGTAACCACTATGCTCCTAGAGCTCCTTCTCCTCGCCTTTATTCCCTTTCTTATCCTTAGGGTTGAGGGCAAGTTTAGTGCTTGGAGGGATAGAAAACATAATTTGGAAAAAGGGTGGTGGTGTCCTCACGCTTCAGGAAGGTAATTTTTATATTGGAAGAATTTCTTTATTTAAAGCTTATGTGATGGTATAGAATATGCTCACCATACAACAATAAGTGAAATAATTTGAATACGCAGAGAGATAATACCATCATGAAACAACCAATTTATTTTTTGAAAGACTAAAAGGAAATTTTAAGATGTGGCTGTGTTTTGGTTGGTGAAGCTCTCAGTGATTTTTAGAAATTAGAACGGGAGAAGTTGAGGGGAAAATGAAATCTGTGGTTCTGGCTGTAACTTCTGAAAGATAAGAAACAGACATGCAGCTTACTTACTAGGTGCATGTTTTTACATAGATCATTTTAAAAGTTGGATTGTGGTTTCAAAAAGATGGTTGGGATTAGACCTGGTGCTAGTGAAATGTCCCTTTGGAAGTTTCAGAACTTTGGAGCTAGATTATAAAAATTTAAGAAACTATCCTTTAGCTCTTAGTCTGTAAACAGCAAATATCCTGACATCAGTGGCAATTTTGTTGGAGAAACAGCTTTTGCAGGGATATATATTTTTAATTACATGTATCCTGGGGAAGCAGCCAAGCTGTTTTGAAGGACAGGACTGGATCCCTTTACACGCTGGAAAATAGTTACTTGTAACTCTAGACTTCATAGACAACATCTGTAAGGAGCCAAGCAGACTGTTTATCAATGCTGGAGGAATTGAGGACAGCAACTGGAGTCTCCCCTGCTGGTATTACAGTTTGTAGGGACTTAACATTTACATTTTCCTATTGTGCCTCATTATTATTCATTGAGGTAACCTGGCCAAACAAACCCCTGGTGACCAGAGACCTCACTCTGCTTCATATCTCTGAGTCAGTGTCCCAATTAAGATATTTTCTGTTTCAATATGGAACTGATTTTCGGGGGGGAAAAAAAAAATTAAGGGATAATGTTGAAAACAGAATATTAGCAAGAGAAATACTTGATCTATAGTTTCTAAATATAGATCCCCCAAAGTAACCACCTCACCACCTACATGACTGCCATTTGGTTAGTCTCTTCCATTCTTTCCAGTAGTAGTTAAAAGATGAGGGGGTTTGAAAGACAGTTTTTTGTTTTTGTTTTTTTTTTTTAAGATTTATTTCCTTGAGTGTTGTGCAGAAATTGATATGTAATTCTTCTTCAACTCTACCTCCCTTTTTATTTATTTACTTATTTTTGTTCCTCTAGAAAGGATTACTAGAATTGAACTAAGAAAAGTGTGTTGTGAATGATGGGCTATTATGTATACTTGTTTGAGGTCTGAGTAAACAGTCATACTCCATATAGGCTGAAAGGTAGATATGCACATTGCCTGGAAGTATTCAGCTAAGCTTTGTGCAAGCATTTGACCAAACTTCCAAGTCATTGTTTTCTTTGTTCATTTCATTACTTTTCCAGTTCTTCCTTTGTTCGGTTTATGTGCCAATGTGCACGGAGAAGATCAACATCCCCATTGGCCCATGTGGCGGCATGTGTCTTTCAGTCAAGAGACGCTGTGAACCAGTCCTGAAGGAATTTGGATTTGCCTGGCCAGAGAGCCTGAACTGCAGCAAATTCCCACCACAGAATGACCACAATCACATGTGCATGGAAGGGCCAGGTGACGAAGAAGTGCCGTTACCTCACAAAATCCCCATCCAGCCTGGGGAAGAATGTCACTCTGTGGGAACCAATTCTGATCAGTACATCTGGGTGAAAAGGAGTCTGAACTGTGTTCTCAAGTGTGGCTACGATGCTGGCTTATATAGCCGCTCAGCCAAGGAGTTCACCGATATCTGGATGGCTGTGTGGGCCAGCCTGTGTTTCATCTCCACTGCCTTCACAGTCCTGACCTTTCTAATTGATTCTTCCCGGTTTTCCTATCCTGAGCGCCCCATCATATTTCTCAGTATGTGCTATAATATTTATAGCATTGCTTATATTGTGAGGCTGACTGTAGGCCGGGAAAGGATATCCTGCGATTTTGAAGAGGCAGCAGAACCCGTTCTCATCCAAGAAGGCCTTAAGAACACAGGATGTGCAATCATTTTCTTGCTGATGTACTTTTTCGGAATGGCTAGCTCCATCTGGTGGGTTATCCTGACACTCACTTGGTTTTTGGCAGCCGGACTCAAATGGGGTCATGAAGCCATTGAAATGCACAGCTCTTATTTTCACATTGCAGCCTGGGCCATCCCTGCAGTGAAAACCATTGTCATCTTGATAATGAGATTGGTGGATGCAGATGAACTGACAGGTCTATGCTATGTTGGAAACCAAAACCTGGATGCCCTCATTGGCTTTGTGGTGGCTCCTCTCTTCACTTACTTGGTGATTGGAACTTTATTCATCGCTGCAGGTTTGGTGGCCTTGTTCAAAATTAGGTCAAATCTTCAAAAGGATGGGACCAAGACAGACAAGTTGGAAAGGCTGATGGTCAAAATTGGAGTCTTTTCAGTACTGTACACAGTTCCTGCAACCTGTGTGATTGCCTGCTATTTCTACGAAATCTCTAACTGGGCATTCTTCCGGTATTCTGCAGATGACTCCAATATGGCAGTTGAAATGTTAAAAATTTTTATGTCTTTGCTGGTGGGCATCACTTCAGGCATGTGGATTTGGTCAGCCAAAACTTTTCACACGTGGCAGAAATGTACCAACAGATTAGTAAACTCTGGGAAAGTAAAGAGACAGAAGAGAGGGAATGGTTGGGTGAAGCCTGGGAAAGGCAGTGAAACTGTGGTGTAAGGATGGCCAGCCTCCACACAGTCCTCATTTTGATAGGGGGAAGACTAGCATTTCGGGGGGGTGGGGGTGGGAAATGCTGCTCAAAATCGTTTGCAATAAATCTCAGTTTGAACAACCAACGTTTAGGCGAGCCCCCTGCCTCCTCAGCATCCTAAAACCAATGATTTTGCTGCAGACTTTGGAATGATCCAAAATGGAAAAGCCAGTTAGAGGCTTTCAAAGCTGTGAAAAAATCAAACTGTTGATCACTTTAGCAGGTTGCAGCTTGGAGTGGTGAGGCCCTGCTAAGATTTCAGGCAGTCCAGGGCAATGCTGCTTTGCTTTTCCTTGCAGGGTGGGATTTGAACCCTTAGTTGGGAACTTGCAGGGAGAAAGAGTAACTTAAAAAAAAAAAAAAATCCTTTGGAAATTTAAATACTAACTGGGTCTTTCAATAGCAATAGCAAAGCAATCTGTAAACACTGGAAACGCTGGGTTCAGAGAAGTGTTACAAGAGTTTTTTGTTTGGCTGATCTAATATAAACATCTTCTGTGGTGCACTGTCTGCTGTTTAGAACTGTGTGGATCGCACTCCCAGAGGTGGTGTCAGAAACTTTCAGTGCCTTTGTCATAAAACAGAATTGTTTGAACAAACAACAGTACTGTACAAACACACCTAAGGTGTCCGTGGATTTTTCCTCACTCTCTCCCCCTCTTTTATTTCAGTCTCTCTGCTAGGCAGCTGCAATTATCTACAATTTATATTCATAACTAAAAAAAAAAAATAAAGTATTTTTATAGGAATTTTTGCATTGCAGCATGCTTAATGAGGGGAAAGGGAAGGGAGGGCGATTCACTTTCTGACAATCACTTGATTCAGAGGAAAATGAGATTTACCAAGTCTACTTACCTTACCGACCCCAGAGACGATGGCATTGAGCAATTGGGACTTAATATATTTTACCTTGTGTGATTGCATCTATGCAGACGCCAGTCTGGAAGAGCTGAAATGTTAAATTTCTTGGCATCTTTGCATTCACACAGATTAACTGTGTAATTTGTGTGTGTCAATTACAATTAAAAGCACATTCTTGGACCATGACATGGTATACTCACTGACTTTAAAACTATGGTCAGCTTGCATTCTCAGAATGATAGTGCCTTTTCTTCCCTTAGCATAAGAATGTTATCAAAGTCTGGGCTACTTACAACAATGGAGACTTTTTCAATTTTGTGAAGGGAACTAAGGTCAGCTAATCCAACTACTTGGTGCATAATTGTTTCCTTGTAATTGGCAAAGGCTCCTTATACGATTTCCTTGGAGGCAGTGTGGCCTGGAGTATTTATATGGTGCTTAATGAATCTCCAGAATGCCAGCCAGGAGCTTGATTGGTTAGCTGGGAATAAAGTGTAGACCCTATGAAATGAACTGCAAACTCTAGCAGCCCTGGTCTTAATTGCCTTTTGTGGAGGTATCCAAAGCCTTTCAAATTTATGCTTTACATTACTCACAAGGGGGTACCCCCTAGGAGCTTCTCAAAAGTTGCTCTGCTTTTAAAATTGTAACTGGTGTCTCTATTAACCTGCCTAAGGCCTTCTAATCTCTAGATCTCTGGGGCAAATTGTTGACAATGTTACAGGTTGCTCTCCTTATAATTCATACCTGTCTTTGCTTTAGTTCCTGCTTTGCATGACTCATTTATTTATTCATGCCTTTTTTTTTCAAACCAGGTAGGAAAGTTGTCTTTTATCATTCTTTTTTGTAAAGAAACATTTCCAGGAACTCAGAAAGTCAAATGTTGTTGTTCTGACCCATAATGACCTTGTTTAGGGTTTCCAAGGAGCAGCTAGTGAGCTTGAACTCCTGACCTTGTGGTTCAAACTGACTTTGCAGTACAGTGCATTAACTCACAGTACCACACCAGGACTCCCAAAAGTCAAATAGGTGGTCAGATTCTGGAACTAAGCATGCCTGTTTTTGTTGGTTTTTTGGGGGGGTTGGGTTGGGGATGGGCATGAGCTTTATGCCACAATTTGCCATTTCCTCCCTTTTCCTCTTTGTGTTTATGTGGTGGTTGAGCTGTCAGAGATGAAGATTCCTATGTAAGATCTGTTGTGTGTTTTGGAAGGGAAAGCCTTAGGGCTTTTGTGGCAGAAGTTAAGTGGGCAAGGTTGGTCGGTGGTGCTGTCTGCCAAGCCTGAGTGTCTTGGCTGGACTCTGGGTCAGGGCTCCCAGAGCATGAGAAATAGTCCCCAGAAGGGCCAGTTTAACTCCATCTGAGACTACATTGCCTATGAAATGTAAAATGTGAACTCCCTGTACTGCTTGCAGACAGTTCCCATAACTGCCTGCACCCTAGAGTATGCACTCAGGGGCAGAGCCTGCCCTTACTCACGCTCCGCTCTAGTGTCTTGGGAGTTGGGCAGAGACTTTGAAACCCAGGAAGCAAAGGACCATGCTATAGGAGACTGGCCTTACTGTTAGGAGTATCGAGTTTGTCAGATGATTTCCATTGAAATGTTTCAGTAATTGTGATCTATGTGACCAGGTAGCACCTAACAGAGGCTCAGACCTGGAGTAGCTGCTCAATATTAGTGAACGATTGAATAATAGTAATAGTGCCCAAGAGTGAACCTGGGCATTCAAGTTCTGGAGCTAGTACCTTGACAACTGGGTTTAACATGCTGTTCTGCCAGTCTCTTACCTTCTCAGGGGAAAGGACAATTGCTCAGAATTGGCAATTGCAACAGTGGCCTATTGGTGCAGACTGGATTGGTAGTCTTAGCAATGTCACACGGTCGTAGGCCTTTCACATTCCAGACAATGGAGAGTGTTTACAGTTTCAGGAATGAAACCTTGTGGCCAAGGAGTCGATTACCAATTACTCAAAGTGCCTCCATCACCTCTGAAATTGGTATTTGTTTTTGTTTTTTTAAAAAACATTTACTGAATGCCAACTGTGTGTAAAACCCTGTATTAGGCACCTTAGTTGGGGGATACCACAGAGGATAAATATTTCAGTTCCGTGGCGACAACTTTATTCTTCTAATTGACCCAGACTGGGGACGCTCCTGGATCAGCTGAGCTTTGCTGTTGGTTTTCTAAAGAAAAAGAGGCTTTTGCAATTTTCATCTGTTTCACTGTCTCCTTCCCATAAACTTCTTCTTGGGTCCCTGTACCTTTTTTTAACTCTTGTCACTTCATGTTTTTTTCCCCCAAAATCAATTACAAGGGTTTTAATAGAAAGCATCAGCTTTGCTTCATGGCAATCCTTTGGAAACACTTAGACAGACTCAGAAAATAGGCTATGAGGACATGCGCTCTCACATCTGACTTTGAGACACACTTACAGCTTGGTGTGTTTGTGTGCCTTGTGTATGTAGTGAACGTGAGGACAGCATTTTGCTAAGGAAAATGTTAAGGTGGTATTTTTGTCATATCCAGAACAAGTAGATACAAGAGGGCTTCAAAAAGTTCGTGGAAAACTGAAATTAAGATTATTTCCCCGCGAACTTTTTGAATCCTCTTTGTATGATTATTACTTCCCACCAAAATCCTTTGGCCTCCAGAGAGTTTGTTAAGTGGGGCCCCAGGTCACCTCTGTCCTGTCTTCTCACTGGCAGACTCTTGTTTCCTGCTTCATAAAAGGCCACACCTCAGGGCAGAGGAACATGGGTTAGGGTGGAACTGGTCAGAACCATCTGGTTGAGCTGCTTGGTTGATGCATATATTTTTTTCTGTTATGGAGACCCATTTCCTGGTCTCTGAGACTACCTGTGTTGGCAGCTTGCTGGGGCCTGAAACCTGAAAAGAGGTGACTAGTTTTGTTTTCCTGAGATGCTCTCTGGTTTTCCTTTGTTGAGTGAATTGCTCCCCACACTCTCTCATTTATACCACTCTGTTTCTAAGTTCTGAATTATGATGCTACCCTTCATCACCCGCAGCTTCCTACTCTCTGCTACCCTCAGCTTCCTGGACACTGGATTAGTGGTTATTGTTTTGGTGACCCAGCTGGCATCTGAGGATACAAAGATGAATTTAACAGCTTTAGCCTGGAAAGGCAGACTCAATTTAAAGAGATTTCATTAGGAAGGTGTGATGATCTCTGGCATATGGTGAGATGGTCCTAGCAGCAATTAGGAATAAAAACCACAAAAGACAGACTGGAAGGAGCCCCTTAGAATCACTCTACGTGTTGAGTTGGGTTCTGTGGTGGTAGGGGCGTATTAGAGGGAGTTGCTGGTCCACATAGTTATGCTGAGTCATGGAACTCTGATAGATCTTTTTGTTCTTTTATTATATTTGAGGCCAGAGTCCCAGTCTGTGTATCAAGTTTGGTGAAGAACCTGGGTTATCATTTTTCCTTGGGCTAGGTTGCAGATCTTGAAAACTCACAGGAGGGCAAGGATTAGAGACTAGAGGCTTGAATAATGGATTTTGTTTCAGTGCAGCCTGGTTCGCTCTCTGGTGCTGCCCCTTGCCATGAACAAGTGCAGTAAAGGCACACTCAGTAGTAGCAGCCGGGAAGTGAGACAGGTCCCCAAAAAGCTGCTTCCTCTTGATAAGCCCATTACCCATTTCTGTGTCTGATTTGTCTTATTTCCCTTCTTGGCCTTTGAATCAGCAAATTCCCAATATTCACCCAGGTAATATGTAGAGGGCCTACCTGGGGTCCTGTATGAGCCACATCCTCAAAGCTTTTGTACCTCCTTGATCTCCTTCAATACTCAGTCCATGACCACTGTCGTCCCAGAAGACTTCTGAGAGAATAGGGGTAAAAGCAGTCCTGCTCTGTAAAGGCTGGGTCCATCTCTCTCCCAGGTTGTGGAAGTTTCCAAATGCCGTTCACAGGTTCTGGCCCTCACTTGACTGTGGGTTTTTTGGAGAGATTACCTGCTTTCTAGGTCTCTCTGAGTGGGGCATGTAGGTGGTTCTGATTTTTCCCTACCTTATAGGGATGTTGTGAGGTTGTAGAAAGTCTAAGGATCAAGGCCTCCTGAACTCTTTGTAAGGAAGGTAGACTAAATACCGGGTCATCTCTGAACAGATAAAATAGGACTCACCTTGCTCTGTGCAGCTGCCACCCTAGTGGTTCTGTGGCCTTGTATTCTTGTGCTACCCCACAGCTTCAGCCACCTTGATACCAGCCTGGTGGACTTTCAGATGTT